CACACACACACACACACACGTACATACATACACAACCTATGACAAGGAGATAAGATCATTCGAGTGGAATTGAGGGGTGGGTGAGAGAGTGTTTGATTAGGCACAAGGGACTTGTGCTGGTCTCGTGCAGATTTTGGCATGAGCTCAACAATTCCGAATCCTTGATTTTAGCACTACGATGTCAATTCGCATGCAGTCAACTATTGCCACACACTCTGATCGTTTCGACTTCATCCATTATCATGCTTCTGAATAAAGGGGTGTATGGTTTTACACTAGTAAAGGATGCTGCTGAAACAGAACAAGCGAATTTATGCATAGGATCTCGAATGTGAAAGGTCTGCCTTTAAAGGGTATGAATGCCATTTTGATGTAACGTGTATTTGCAAGCATGGGAAGGTACTTTGAGTGGTAGTGTTCACAAACGAAGGAAGACTATCACCTATGCAAAGTCCATTTTTGACTTTATATCTGATTAACGCTTTTATAGATTGGACACCCAATGATTATGTAAGCACAGAGAACCAGTTATGTAAGGTAAATTTGACGATTGGAGGGGAGTCAGGACCTTGTACAATGTAGTAAGTTGTTTAATTCGAAAAAATCAGTATTACAATTTTCTTTCCAGAGTAAAAGGAAATGCTGAACTCATGCCATTGCGTCTACAAACTAGTGTAGGAGCTCTCTAAACTATACTCCATTTTTCGCATTTCATTTTCGCTGGTTGGGTCAAGTTAATTAACCCGTTCAAGGTAAGTTGGCAAGTTCTATGTTGATTGAAAAATTGATGCCAAGAAAGGACATAAAGCTCATATTCATGTAACTAAGTGAAAGAGGTTGCATTTAGGCATCGGACTGTACCGTAACTTTTATTGAGAAATCACAACTACGTTTGTCGGGGCGCCATCGTCAAGACGGGTTGTGGCCCTTTACTAGAGGTGACATTTACATGGAAGAAATGGTAAGAAGCGAAGGATATGCAGTACAAATTGAAGTAAGGTGACATCAATTATGGTTTCATCTGTGCTAGTAATTGATGCAGGCGGTGCCAGCCAGAAACCCTTCCACCCTGTCTCATCCCATCTCACCTCCCCTTCGCCCTATTCCACTTGAGTGAAGCTGTTAACCGCAGCCGCAACGAGCACATTTTCTTCAGTCTAGTGATTGCTCACTCTCTCGCCACAGAGAGACGGGGTGGAGTGAATTGGAGTGGGGAGCAAGGCATTTGATGCGCTGATAAGTGGTGGTACTCTGAAACCACTGCTGCTGCTGAGTGCTGCTGCTTCATTTCACTATTCGCAGGCGGTGGGAGAGGGAGCAAGCAGGCTGATGGGATGCAGTGGATTAGGGGGATGGGAGTGAGAGACAAACGAAATGGGAAGACAAGTGCATTAAAATTTCTGCTTGATGCACATTCCAACTGCGTGGATGCATATGGGTAAAGAAGGGCTTGTGCACATAAAAGCTCGTGTTACATGCGGAAGTGGCTAATGGATACTGAGGGGAGAGGGATGTCAGTAGGCGAGGGATTATTGGGAGAGTGAAGAGGGGAGGGAGGAGCGAAGAATTTGTGGGTTTTCGCGATAGGTATATAGACATGTGCACACGCACGTGCAGACAAATAGGCATACAAATGAGAAAGCAGGACAAGTTGTAGGCAAAACTTAATGTTTCGCCTTAGGTTTACAATGTTTCTCATCGACCTCTTCTAAAGGAAAAACTGAGAAGTAGTCGTTGCGAGGGTAAATGACAAACTCTTCAAATGGGTTGCAACATGTTCACGAGTTGACATCGCTATAATCAACTTCAATATGTTTGCCGGCATTTTTAAGAAAGTGACAATGCTAAAGATGCACAAAGAAGGTGATGGGAATGAAAGGAGCAGAAGTGACTTAATGAAAGTGCGATAACATTTAAATCGTCCGTATCAATCTTGTACATTGTAGACTGCTTTGCGTGGCATTAATTTGTGGAAAGGTAGTGAAGCAGACAATTGATTTGAAAGAGCAATCATTTTCCAGTTTGTTGGCTGGTTGTGAAAGGTACAACAACCACATTCTCTTGTTAAGTACGTGAAGAGACAGTAATTGAGATTGCATTGATAAGTCATCTGGGAACAAATATGCCAGTCTCGGAACTCATCTCAGGAAGTTAGTAAACTTCCCACAAGCGTTCCGACCACCTCTTTGAGATGGAGCCATCGATAAGAGACGGACCGAGCATTTTTCTGATGTGACTCATGCCTGATTGAGGCAACCAGAGACAGTAGTGGGAAGTTGGTTAATTGCTCGGAAGTCCGTACCAGCGCTCAGAGGAGGACCAAAATGTCACAACGGTAGAGAAACAACATAAAAAATAACTGATTCCCATTTAATGAGGGAGTGCATTCAGCGATGCCAACCACTACTCCTGAAATAGCTCAGGGGACAGTCATTTCAATCGAGCTGGATTGGTCCGTAGAAAAAACCGTCAACTCTACAAGTAAATTACACCTACAAGCCCTAATTTCATCAACAATACTTGAGCCTATTTTAGTGGAACAGCACCAATTTCATGGCACCGGTGATCAATTGGTCACATTTTAGACAGTCTTATATTACCCCTCCATTAACCGATCGGACATTTTTGGTGCCTATTTTGAGGGTCACAGATGGAAAATCAATGCTCAAGATTATTCTAGTACGTTCTTAAATTATTTTAAACCGGAAACACAGACACTACAATAAGGATAACCATCTAATACGATGACGAAACGGTAAACATTAGAATGAAGTGCTGTGATGCCACCAAGTTACAGCCACTTCTAGTTGTTTAGTTAATCTTTTAGCAGGACATGAGCCTAACTTCGAGGTAAGGCACTTCAACAAAGTCCAGACGGGTTAAATTTACAGACCATGACCAGGTGCCGAAACACCTGCGCGACCTAACAGACCAACGTCCCTACAACGACTTGAAGTCACTTCTCCACCTCATCTGATTCCATGCTGTGACTGAATAAGTGAAATTGTACTTTCAAGGCATGTGCACTTAAAGGTGGACTTTACGTTCGAACATAGAGCTCAAAAGCAATGCCTTGCTCACAATGCAAGCCTTTTTCTCTGTTACCAAAACAAGAGCCGCTCCCTACAGGAAAGATATTTCAAAGAGATGCTAATTGATGTTTTACCAAAGACACAGAAGGAGTTTTCGGTGTCAAAACCGTGACTTGTGACATTCTTTAATCACCCTATGGAGGCAGAGGTAGTGAGGTTAAGAGATCTGAGTCAGCGTCATTTCCATCGTTTCGAAAGCTAGGCTTAGACTTAGCCGATACGCCGACGCGAAAGTGGCAATGACGTTACCTTTTTCTTGATGTACTAAATGACCATCGGTGCACCGATTGTGCCTTCGGATAAGTCGCTTAAATTGAGAGAATGGAAATCAAGCGCGACGACAGTGGAACGCCAAGTGAACTCCTAATATAGCGCTGAGAAGGCAAAAGTACTCTTAATGTTTGCCCAAAGTATCATTTGAGGTTATGCGTTAATATTGTAGGAAAACTAACCATTACTTAGCATTATAATGAGTGTCTCTTTGCTTCAAGTAGTGCAAAACACACTGGCAAAACATGTTACTAAGTTAATAAAGTGTGGGGGAAAATCTTTAAAACAGCACAGCTCATTGCCTTAATGTGCTCTGCCGAGGTCTCTGCAAATTCGTTCGACTGTACATATGCATCAAGATGTTGGGCAGTTGAATAATGAACAATTCGCTGGCCCTGTTATCGCTCGAGAAAGTCATGAAGCTGAACTGACGAGCCTCAAATACCGCGCACCAATAGAAGGTAAAATCAGACTGAATCTGTGTTTCTAGCTTATCACGCTAGTCACCTCTTCCACTTCTGACTTCAGTTACAGGCACCTGGCAGGCCACATTGCTTTTACTGCGTGGAACAGGCTCTGAAACATTTTGCATAGCTAAGTCAACATCTGATCTTCGAAAAACGTATATTTTACTTCATTTAGTCTTCTGGGAATTCTCAAAGCGTCAAACACGTGGCTTGCACTTGATGACTAACACGTGATAGTAAATGGCTTTGGGTTGCATTGTCAAACTAATGGAAGTCATTTATGATGCCCGATTTGTAAAGTTAGCGACCGAATTATGCTTTCGT